TACCGGGGGCATTTGCACTCTAGGTCCTGAGGTATGGGGGTCTCGTAAAGGCGGATCTGTCATTAAAGGTTTAATTCTCCTATTGACAAGTACTAATATTTTGGAAATACCTCGGTTGAAAACAAAAGTCGTGCGCATGGTGGGTTTCACCCACGAGAGAGGAGATTTGCGCATTCCCCCAAAGAGGGAGGACAAGATGGGCAGATGGCGGGTTGGTGGCGGGGGCAGCGGCGGAACGAGCGGCGGAACCGAGCTTTTCGCACCAGCAATCACTAGGGTTTTCACTGCGCCAGGACACTCTTAGGTGGAGGCCATCGCAAGTAGGTTGGAGGCCATCGCTACTAGCAACAAGAAGTTACTAGTAGCAAGGATGATACTGTAGAGGATTTGTTAGCTTCAAGAACCGTGTGAGAGGTGTTTCGGGACCACAAACGAACAGGGCCAAAGTTGACATGTGATGTTTTTGCTATCTTTTGTGTGTGTGTGTGTTTTTTGTCTCTTAGTTTGCGCCCGATAGTTCATAGTAACGGAAGTCATTTGCGGCTCAGCAACAAGTCGATTCGTTCCTTCTACTGGTGGAGTACTGAAAATGACAACCTCCTGAAGAAAACAGTGGCAAACTGGAGAGATAGGACACCCATGCATAGGATCACACCCGACCCCGTTGGGATCCTGAGCCTTTTTCCAGTGGTCTGAAGATTGGGATCACACTGGACAGTGAGCAATCACTGGATGTTGGAAAACCCGGGATGTTGCAGTTCTTCGCGTATACATACATAGTATTCCCGTCCACCTATTAATAAACACGGCCCCCCCCCCTATTTAAAAAAACTCGGTCGCATTTTTTCCAATAGGGGGTCCCTGAAATCGGGGAGTCCAAAATAGGGTCACATGGGAAGAGCTTCAAAACCAAAAAGTCATCCAGAAAGTTTTATATAAAATCATTTATAAAACTCGTATCAAAAATATAAAGAAACTTCCAGATCGAAGGGTATTCCTTTTCCCGTACAAAAACCTTTGTTAGAATACTGATTCTTCATTAGACTAACAACCAAAGCTTTCGAAAGGTGATGTCGCTGTGCCATGCGGTTTTGCACGACCTCGGAGGCAAGTGCGTTTGCGTGAGTCCGTGCCATTTGGGGAAGGAAAACCGGCTCGTGTAAACGCGACGTGTCACGAGGGAGTTTTGGGCGAACCTTAAAAAGAAAAACTACCCCCAAAATCGGCCATGTTGGTAGTTGAGTAGCGGCTTGAAAGGGCGGTAATTTAAAAATAATTATAAGCCGAATTTAGGGCTTCGGACGTTGTGTTTTTTTAATTGGGGAGTGTTTATTAATAGGTAGGGATTACTACACGACCATGATTACTAAACACTTGTGACTTGTGATCTAGTACTCGACTAGACACATCATATAATTAAACATATACCTGGAGTCTCAAAGTACCTCGGACAATGGGTACGAGTACATGTTTTTATGGGGTCATGTCCCATTTTCTAAGGTACTGGGTCAGTCGGGTCCAGGTACACGTGGGGGCTTGGGAAGACAAAGCCTGAGTCCAAAAGGTTCAATAGTCAAGAGACTATCAATTACTCTCTTAGATGGTTTCTAGTGCGTGTGTCAGGATGTTTGTTGTTTTTGTTTATATTAGTTATTTCCGATATTCTTAGGATGTTGTTCCTTCAAACATGTTGTTCTTTTGCCCGAGGGCCCTGAGCTTGGCCCCCTGATCCGTGTCCGACAGCGCTGCTCGCAGCTGTCTGGCACCGAGCCGCGTTTTCCCCTCGGATGGCTTCTGTGCAGGTCCGGAGGGGACCGGCGCAGTGCTTCGGGGCTGTTCTGTCGTGGTTCACAACAGGTCGGTTCAGGCGGTGGCGGCCGCGGAGGGTACTTCTACATTCTTCTGCGTTCCTCTGAAAGGTATTCTGAGACGAATGCCATAGTTGGCATCAGATTCATTTAGCATTACTGCTTTGGGCTGCCCGAGTTGAGATGGCTGGAAGTGGTGTTTTCGTTTTGTGAAGGAAGGACATCACCCCATAGTATAGCCAAAGAATCAGCAACTTCCAGCAGGTCCAGGTCCAGGTGTCAACACACCAATACAATTCCCGCACTTTGTCATCAGAACCCCTCTCTGAACGGTGGACGGGGCGTGGCTTCAGCCGCCGGTGGACGGTGGCGTTCCTTTCAACTTGCTTTCAAGAGAGGTCATGGAATTAAATGTTTGTTTTTGATTCATTTGTTGATCGTCTCGTATGCAATACCAAGATGCCTATGATGGAGATCAGTTTTAGGCCTTGCTTACATGAATTCTGGGTGTGCAATACTAGTGGATCGGACTTGGATTCAGCCTGAGACTTGGATTTAACACATGGGCCACATGTCAAGTTGGCACCAAGGACAAGTCGTATGATTGCTGAGATGTCGACTGAAGAACCCCATGTCAATGTTTTGATAAGTCAACTGTTCTTCTATTTGCTTGACAAGTTTCTTCTTCTATAGGATATAAAGCAGATAGAAGAACCCTTTGATACCCTCTGTCAATGTGTTTCTTTAGCACCGATCATGGTGACCGTGTGGTTCCATCGACCCTTTTTTTTATGGGCTGAAAGCCGAGAAAAGGAGCTAAACCGAGAAATCGACATGGACCATCTTAGAATGACTGGAATGAGTATGCATGCCATGAGTGTTCAACAGGGGCCTTTACCCCAAACTGGTAACCGGTATGCATGTGTATAACAAAGACAAATTCACTATAAACATAGAGACGCACTGCAATTGGTCTGCGGTTTTAGATGGTTTTAGAGTGTGTTCACATCAATTTAGATATATTTAGATCATAAGTTCATAGTTCATATCATGTCCAAATATCTTCCCCTTCTTGCCACTTCGGGTGCGCACGGCCGGTACGCGAACAACACGTTCTCCTCCCCATCAGGTCGCCATGGCTAGACGGCTGAGCCTGAGGTGTGACTCTGTGGACTGGAGAATGTCTGACGTTCCACGAATTGGATCTCCCAGTCCACACGGTGGAAGAAGAAACACTGCGGAGCTGTTTTTCGTTTCTTTTTTGCACATGCAACTGACCAACTTTCTTCCGTTTTCGTGAGAAAGTTGACACGTGGAAGTGAATACATGTGGAACTCCCATTGGTTGGTGAGAGATTCTGACCTTCCATATTCAACAAATATGGAAGTGAAAACTTGTGGAACCCCCTGTATTCAGATACCCTTTAAGTCTTCGGACTAATTTGAGGTTCTTTTTTGCTGTTATTGCTCACCGTTGGGCCTTTCACTGGAACGGCTAAACGGCAAGCACGGTTGGACCTTTGGAGTTGGACCTTTCGTCCTGGACGGATATGTGATATGTATATATATATATATGCGAAGCAACAAGGCGCAGCGACCCGCAAGGCTATTTTCAAAGCT